CTCAGTAAAGTAGATGGCCCTCCCCAATGTGGATGAGCATCATCCAATCCATTAAGGGCCTGAGGAGAACAAAAGAAGGATGATGCAGGAATTTGCCCCTTTTTTTTTCTTGCCTCACTGATTGAGCCTGGACATGTCCTCTAATCTTCTGCCCTTGAACATCAGCTACTCTAGTTCTCAGACCTTCCGATGGGACTGAATTACATCACCAGCTTCCCTGGGTCTCCATCTGACAGAGGGCAGATCATGGAGCTTTTCAACCTTCATAATAGTGAGCCAATTTCTCATGATGAATCTCCATACATCTCCTACTGGTTCTCTTTCTCTGTAGGACCCCGATTATTACAAGTACAACCCACTTAACTCCCACTGAACTAACGTAAAATATGTTGCAGATCAGATGGGCTCTGTTTGACCAACCCAGAGAGTTTGCTGATTTTTTGTTCCCCAACTTGCCCTGCTGCATAGAAGCCATCAAAATTCCATCTTCATCAATGCTTCACTCCCACCATTTTTTTTAATCTTTAATTAATTTCTGGTTCTAAAGGAGCATGTTTACAGTTCTTCTTTATACAAATGTATTTAAATAAAATCTTATCCTTTTCATATGATAAGAAAACACCCTATTTTAAACTTCAGTTGGTCCAATTGTTACCTACACTTGACCGCTGAAAGAATAGCTCTAACAAGAATAGCCATTTCTAATCACTGGCCAACTGTTTAAAAATGTTTCCAAGTATCTCAAATCAATGACTTGTAATGAGGCTTAAAAACTAGAATTTCTGACAGCCTACAAAGAATAAAAAGGTTTCTTTTCCTGATAATTACCCCATGTCTGTACAATGGTGAAATGGGAAGGGTTTCAATGACTCAATTTTGTAAAAAAAAAAAAAAAAAAAAATAGACAAGTGAGCACAAGGCAACTAAGAAAGATTACAAACTTCCTTATTTCACAGAAGCAGAAGTACTGGGAAAAGGAAGCTGACTAAGGCCCATACTATCCAGAGAGGGCTTTCAACATTCTGATCTTCCAAGCCTCTGTTAGCTTTTATTTATTGATGAAATTACTTATTAATTTCTAGTATAGCAAACAAACTCTCAGTCACATGCTCTAAAATGGAAAGATGGAGCGACATGATAAATCAAACAGGAAAGAATCAGTGGAATACTTTTTTTTTTTTAATATATTTTATTGATTTTTTACAGAGAGAAAGGGAGAGAGATAGAGAGTTAGAAACATCGAGGAGAGAGAAACATCGATCAGCTTCCTCCTGCACATCTCCTACTGGGGATGTGCCCGCAACCCAGGTACATGCCCTTGACCGGAATCGAACCTGGGACCTTTCAGTCTGCAGGCCGACGCTCTATCCACTGAGCCAAACCGGTTTCGGCCAGTGGAATACTTTTAAAAGTTCATGCCTGGCTTAGGCAGGAACTTCATGTTTTCATGTAGTAGCATTATATTTCCTTTTCTAATCAAGTTTGGATTAGTTGAAATCAAAATTAGTTTCTGTTTCCTGAGCCACTGAAAGCAGGGGGGTAGGGGTGAGAGGATGTTTTAGGACATTCTTCTGAATAAAGCGATTGCAGCTAAACCCAGGGCAAACCACAAAGCAAAATTTCACATTCAGATAATCTGGAACTCAGTTTAACACACACCCTGAATAGAAGAAATGCAACATTCATGACTAAGAGAACCCAGCTCAAAAGCAAAAGCAACACTTTCCTTCACTCCCACCAAGTGAAAATAAACTGGAGAATGGCTAAGCTCCAAAACAGTGAGTTGATAACCATCACGGTTTTCATGCCTCTTGTAGAGGAAATGAGATGTCATCCAATGCCTGCAGATGCCTTTTCAGGAAATTGCTCATCTGTCTAATTAAGCTCTATTTCTTCACAGGTCTGCGGATACATTCAGCTTTGTACATGCATGTCTTGGATTCCAGAAAACCTTCTTGCCCTTAATCTGTTGGTCATTGGAAATTTCTAATGTGATGGAATCTCCTTAAAATGCAGACTTTTGGAAATTAAATCTCCATTTTTAGGGGTTTTCATCATCTTACATTAATCAGTAGCTGAACTTCATTGCCACCTTCTTAGAGGATGTCATTTCCTACTGGGAAGTAGTTTTGAAAGAGCATAAATTAAAAGGCCTAAGAGACTTTAGAAATGGCTTTAAACCTTGTTACTAACATAGAGCATCTAACTGCTCACAGACTCCAAGTTTATAGGTTCTCAGGCAACCTTGTTCCCGCTTGTTTATTTGTTTTTCCAGTGGGATGGTCATGTACATTTGGCCTCTGCTCCTTTCATAGTACACCACAGAGAACCTTCCCTGTCCTACTTTCCACTGACTAACCTTGCTTTATTTCCTATCCTTGTATAGTTAGTTCAACCCACTTAACTTCCACTCCAAAATTGATCATTTCCTTCCTTCTAAACTAGGTTTGTCATTTCTATCTCAATTGAAGAACAATATAACAGAAACTATACCAGATCCTGGAGATATGAAACAAAACAAGACAAGGGTATTTTCCCTCAAGGAGCTTGCTATCCAGCAGGGGGGGAAAAACTACAACAACAACAACAAACACACACACACACACACACACACACACACACACACACACACAGAATTAACCCCAGACCCTACATCCAACTACAATTGGAGCAAAAGAAAAAACAAAACAAAACTAAGTTATGCCCTAGTCAGTTTTTCTCGGTGGTTAGAGCGTTGGCCCACCAACTGAAGCGTTGTGGGTTCTATTCCACTCAGGGGCGTGTGCCTCAGCTACAGGCTTGATCCCAGGCATATGCAGGAGGCAAGCAATCGACGTGTCTCTCTCATAGCAATGTTTCTCTGTCTCTCCCCCTCCCTTCCACTCTCTCTAAAAAATCAATGGAAAAAAATATTCTCAGGTGAGGATTAAACAAGACAAACAAGGTATATATAAATTGCATGTTAAAGAAGCAAAGAAAAAGCAAACCGTCATTATGCCACCTATTAAACAATGTTTATTACTTTGAAATGCTTTTATACTTTGCAAGTAATACTATTCAAACATGTGGTCACAGATATGCAGTTAGAGGAGGGTGGTTAGCAAGCATATTCATCCTCTGCCACTGACATGTTATATCTAAAATACTTTATGAAATGAAAACTGATGTTTATTAAGCTCTATACACACATAATCCTACATAATAAAAGCCCAGCGACCGAATGGTAGAATGACCAGAACGACTGGCCGACCAGTCGCTATGACACACACTGACCACCAGGGGGCAGACACTCGACACAGGAGCTGCCCCCTGGTGGTCAGTGCACTACCACTGTGGGAGTACCGCTTGGTTGACCAGTATGAGTGGCTGCTCCCACTGCAAATCAGGGGCCCACAGGCCGGAACCTGGGCTGCGATCATTGCCTCTTCGCCCCAGACTCCTCTTCCTCCTCACTCCCTGCCACCTCTTCCAGACACCCACAGGCCATGCAGTGCCACTGCAGGGCTTGCAGAGCTGCCCCCCGAGGTTGGGAGGCAGGTTTGTGGCCGCCACAGGATTGAGGCCTACGCCACTGCCTCTCAGTGCTATTGTCCCTGGGCCTGGCCCAGACTGGGTCCCCTGGAGAGGTGAGTGCTCCGGCTCCATGGAAGATGCCAGATCAGGGAGCAGCCACTCAGAGGGCAGGTCCACAGCCGCTCAGCTGACCGGATGAGCGGCGCTCCCACAGTGGACCAATCCCCACAGGCCACACACCCCCACCAGTGCATGATCCCATGCACCAGGCCTCTCGTATAATGATAAATGAGGTTAAAAGAGAATGTCATAGTATTCAAATCTATTGACGCACACTCCCAAAGCATAATATAGTAATAATAGAATAGGCCTGAAACCCATCTTATTCAGTTTTGCCATCCCCTTAACTCACCTTAAATCAAAACTAGACACTTAGATCTGTTGAAAGGCATTGCATAGATATAATTATGAGCCTTCAAGCATATCTCTGGATTTGAGATTAACATCTCAGTAGTGCCAGCATGCTTTCAGCTATATATATGCACACCAAAATGCTTGTAAGGAAGTTTTAGTTTACTTATGTGCAACCCTAGCCTGTAGGCTCCTCACATCTCCTGCATTTATAGGTTGAGAGCAGATCTAGCCAAGGTCATTTCCATTTCATTCAGAAATTCTTTGAGCCCAGGAAGTTCTCATTATTTGAACATGCATTATACCCCATCTCACAATTACATATTTGTTTAGGGAAGCAAGAAGTCATCATAACACAAAAATATTCACAAAGGGGCTGACAGATCTCTTATAATACTTGTCACCATGTATCCCACCCCACTTAAGCCTAGCTTGTCTCTCCATCCATCACATCAATATTAGCTCTGACTGATAGTGCAGATGTTGTAGACATTTAATCAAACAACGCGGATGCAATGCAATAGATTGTCAAGCAAAATGGCAAACATTGCAAAAGTTGTGGGATTTCATAAGATTGATGAAAGTGATGCTGGAAAACTTCTTGGATCACACAGATACACACACACACACACACACACACACACACACACACATACACACAAGCTAGCAGAGAAGGACTTACTAAAAATTAATAAATAGAAAACCAACAAGGATAATGATATAATAAGCATGGCCAAAAAAAAAACAAACCTATCTGAATAAAAAGGATTAAAAGAGTGCTTTGGGAAAATTGACAAAGCCCTCACTTAAGGCAAAAATAACCTTTATGGTGATAACATTGCAAAAGTTATATATACATTAAATGGAGATTTCAATATTGCTATCATACAATTTTATTATAAAATATAGACCCCCCAAAATCAGCATTTACCTTTGTTTTATCAAAGTGCTAAGTATAATTTAAATGTATTTAAATGTAAGAATAAGCAAAGACTCAATCACAGTTCTTTTAATTATTTTTAAAAATATTTCAAGTGGATTCATTTTCAGGAGCTTTTAAATCTACATGCACTTACTAATTTTCCTTGAATAACGAGAATTCAAATCACTGTTCCAGCCATGGCACTTGTTTTGAAGAAGCTTCTAAAATCCTGCCAGGCTATAGCACCCATCAGGTCACAGGTGAGCATTTATGACATCCACCTGGGCAAAGAGATTCACCTGAATATTGCACACACATACCCATGGCCAATTAACTTAGGGCTGGTGAAAGGATTTTGCTCCTTATTTTAACCTGGGTATTTTCTTCAATTAAAAGGAAAGACCTAGCACAATAAATTCATTTCCTCAGGACTAATGAAAGAACATCCACCAAAGAAAAACAACTCTAAATGCTGAATTCTAGCTTATGCAACTCAGGTGGCTAAGACTGCTTAGTTGGAGAGGTCAGGTACAATGCCAGGAGGCACATGCAGGGAGGAGAGGATTCTGTCCCAGATCACAAAATACAGCTTCCTCCACCCCACATGCCCTGGCCCTCTGACCACGGCAAGTTGGCTGGGGCTCTATTGGAAAAGCACTGCTCTCCACCATACATTGTGAAGCCCTCAATGGCACACAATTTTATATCATCCTTTTTCTTCTGTGCAGGTGACCTTGTACAATTAGGAACCTGGAAGTTTTGAAGTCAGGTGGGCTGAGCTTCAAATTCAGCTTTTGTATTTATAAGCTGTGTTATTTGGACAAGTTTCTTATCCTCTTGAAGCTTCAGTTTCAACCTCTGTGACACAGAAATAATAAATCTACCCCACGGAGTTGCACAGAGACTACAAATGAAACAATGGCTCTGAATGCCCAATAGTGTACAAGCTTTACAGTAGTCACACTGTGAAAAAGAATGTTAGTTCCCACCACTTCCCCCATGTCAAGAAAGATTATGGGGAAGCATAAACCCTCTGGCACCTGGTGGGAAAGGAGGAACTGAAAGGCGATAAAGGGAGTGTAAGAGGAAATGGAGAGGGTGACACAGGCTAACTTCCCCAGCACTGCCCCCACTCTCCCGTTTCACCCAGGACTGGTCCCAATCGCACATGAAAATGAAGGAGAAGATATCTGTGTTTCAGACAGAAAGTACAAATCCACTGCATCTGACTCAGAAACTCCACAAAGAGGCCCAGAGGAGATAATAAATAGAATCACCTGATCTAATTCAGAGGCCTCCGGGTTTAGTCACTCCCAGCTGAGAGGTTCTCGTACCAGTGGTTCTCAGCCTTCCTAATGCCACGGCCCTTTAATACAGTTCCTCATGTTGTGGTGACCCCCAACCATAAAATTATTTTCGTTGCTACTTTATAACTGTAATTTTGCTACTGTTTTGAATCATAATGTAAATATCTGATATGCAGGATGTATTTTTATTGTTCGTAACCCACAGGTTGAGAACCGCTGTTTATTGGAAGGAAATCCACTCTGGCCTACGTGTGACAGTTGCTGATAGTTAACTAATCATAGCTTTAAATGTAATTTTTTTTATGAATGAGGGTTTTGGGGTTTTTTGTTGTTGTTGTTGTTGTTTTTGTTTTGTTTTGTTTTGTTTTTAATGATATATGAAAGGAGTTCTCTTCCATCACTTGGAAAACAGATATTCAACAAAAACTGGCCAATGTTCCTGTTAGTCATTATCTTCAAGGTCTGAGCACTTTCATTGACAAACAGTCCACAAATATTTCTTAAGCACTGAGAGTGTTTGTTGTGCCAGGTACTGTGAAGAATTGAGAAGAGGCGGAGGGTGTAGATTCCATTCCCAAGGAACTTGCAACCAGCTAAGGCACACAAACTCCGTGTGAAATAACTGGCCAATGGGGCAACACAAAAACATCTCTATTCAAATGAGAGTGCACAGGAACACTTCCTGGCTCAGGATGTTGTCATGAAGTTCAAATACAATGATGCACAGAAGGCTCCTACCTGGAACATGTGTGTTTAACAAATCAATGCCCCCTCTCCCCAGGAGAAATCTAAGTGAGAGCAATGTCAAAGCAAGGGAGCAGGGAGTCACAAGAAGAAGGTTATCAATAGCAAATACCAGGTACTGTGCTAGATACTATAGATCTCAAATGAATTAGGAAAAAAACCACTGCCTTCAAATCTCATCTATTTGTGGAGAACAAGCATACAAACAATACTTAGAATATCTATAGTCTAGTCCTGGCTGGTATATTCACTGGTTAGAGTGTCAGCCTGCACACTAAAGGGCTGAGGGTTTGATTCCTGGTTAAGGGCATATACCTGGGTTGCAGATTCAATCCCCAGCTGTGCCTGGCTCAGAATATTGTCATGAAGCTCAAATACAATGATGCACAGAAAGCTCCTACCTGGATCATGTGTGTTTAACAAATCAATGTCCCCTTTCCCCAGGAGAAATCTAAGTCAGAGCAATGTCAAAGCAAGGCAGCAGGGAGTCACAAGGAGAAGGTTATCAATAGCAAATGCTGCTGAGAGACTTTGACCAAGAGGAAGTCACTGACCCTTTAGAGTACTGTTTCTGGAGTGTGATGAAGATCAAAGTCAGTTAATTATAAGGAGTTAGGGGGGAAAAGGCATATTCAGAAAGTGTAGCCAACAGGTGTAAACAACACATTTTGAGAGGATTGGGAGAGATAAGGAAGAGAGAAAACCACAGGATCTAGTGATAGCAGTTGTTTTCCTTTGTACACATGGAGCTCTGTTTAAAAGTTTTCTCTAGAAAGGGGGAAAGAATATATTCTAGCACCATACACAGCTCTATTCAGAAGCAAACAGTCAACCACATGGCCTTGTATCTCCAAGAAACACAAAGGTAGGTGGAGTTAATTCCTTTTTTTTTCTATTTAATAAAAAAATTCTAAAATAAACTAGCTTCCCAGGATTTTTCAAAAGAAAAAAAATAGCCTTGTGTATTTCATCAGAATTCTACATGTGTAAGGCACAACAAGATAGAAGTTAATTCCTTTTATCTGCAAGAAAGTTAGGGTACTTTTGACTAGGATCTTGCTAATCTCTGTTAATATTATTAAGAGTTAGTTTATACTTCATCAATAAACATTGACTCATTATATCAGCTTTTTATATCCCTCACATCACTGAGAAATTGTTATAGGAAATATAGAGATGTTCATGACAGGCCCTTTGCCCTCCAGAGGAATCAACTCAAAAGAGACAACAGAAAATGTATAAATAACATGTGTATAAATGACACTGACCAATTTAATAAAGAGCTACAGATATTAAGAGGAGAAAAGAGAAAGAGGTTACTTCTGGACTGGGAGAGCTGACTTTTCTTGGAGGAAAGATGAATTTAAGTTGGCTTTGAAGAAAGCATAAGAGTTTCCAAGGAAGGGCCCAAGAGGGGCTGAGGGGAGGCGCAGCTCCATTGCCATCCAGGCAAGGAGAATGAATGAAAACCATAATGAGGACAGTTTTGAACAAGAGACCATACCTAACAACCTACAAAGACAGGTCAGCTATCAGCTATACCAAAATCGACTTCACTAAACTAAAGCCCTCTAGGGGGAAGATCCATACCCGTGGGCCTTTTGGTCTGATTCATCGTTATGTTTTCACTCATGCCATTGTTTCCTAACTTCAATATTTCAGCTCTGGGGTCTGTTATTTTCCCATTGTACTCAGACTGCAGAAAGAGGAAATAACTCATCCAGCAGTGGGGATTTCTTAGTAGGGTTTTGAAGAGAGATGCTGAGGGTGGCTGACTCTGCCAAAATGTTTCCTTTTTCTCTTGCTGTTTGTCAGATATTGCAGTTGAGCAACCCTGGTGTCATCAACATGCAATCTCATCTAATTTATCTTCCTTCACTCACTCAAACTCAGCCCTTTGCCTTTTTTTTTTCCTGGCTCATTTAGAGTTTCACAATCTCTTACCTCTAACTGCTGAGTAAGTTCAAAACACTGTGTATCTGGCATCGGATACCATAGTCTCCAAAAAAAAGGGCTCATAGTCACCAAGATGGCTGTGGCTACCTATTATGTCTTCATATTTTGCTTTGCCATTATTTCATTTTAAAATTTTATTTTAATTTGTCTCACAGATTCAGATCCAAACAATAAATTTTTGTGGCTGTGTTTTCCTCCAAGTCCCTCCCTTTTGAAATACAGATGGCTGAAATAAACATTCATAGAGTTCCTAGTGTCAGTCTCTCCAGAGACCCATAAAAATATTCCACACTAATAAACCATTAGTCCAAGTACAGGCTATGGAATATGTGGGTCTAATGGGATCCTAAAATTGACTTTTAATCACACAGATAGAGGAAATTAACTGCATTTGTAGGTCAAAAGCTTTTACGGTGTCTTGGAGGCAGGGCCACCATGGTTACTTACTCCACCCAGCTAGCACAGATATTGGGTCTTTATAATTTATCCTGACTTTATAAATCAACCTGACTTCCCTTGGATCAGCCAAGGAAACTTTCCTTTCTCCCCTAATCTCTCCTCTCTTCATCATCTCAGTAGGAAGAAAAATGGTTTAGTTTTTGATAGAGGTTTCTAAAGCAGAATTCCAGATCTGATTGTTAAATATGGACTGGTATACATATTTTGAGCCTAGTGAAGGATATGACTGTGAAGAATGGCTAAATAAAGCAGGTAAAAGAAAACAAGGCAGTGTGCGGATGCTCCAGCAGTCTGAAGTTTGTATAGACTCTGCCACTCCACGCCTGTGTCCGGACTCACAAATTTTGGGGCAGCAAGTATTTTCAAAGTTTTCAGTTAAACTAGGAAGGACTAGAAATGCATTAAAAAGTTTCTAGGACTTGCCTCCACATCCCTGAATACAAGCTCTATTCTACCTATTATCTTCCTGCAAACCCTGAAAAGGTCAAATCCTGGGAAGTCACATGGTCTCTGTCAACATACAAAGGAAGCACCTGCTGGAAGATGTTTCCTGCCTGCAGCCATCTTTGCTTCCAAGTTTGCTGCTTGTCCACAAAGCTTGCCATGGCACCTGAAGCTTAGTAAATACTCCAGGAATCAACAAGTAAAAAGTGCTCAATGTTGGTGAAGTGTTCTCTTAACTGCTCACCTTACCAAAAATCAGCCTTGCTGTAACCACCAATCTGTAGT